ATTGTCTAAAGTAAGACACATTGTCAAGGAGAAGTTACTTTTAGACACATTGTCTTAAGTAAGACACATTATCAGGGATATGTTAGTTGTAGACACATTGTCTTAAGTAGGACACATTGTCTTAAGTAAGACACATTGTCAAGGAGAAGTTACTTTTAGACACATTGTCTTAAGTAAGACACATTATCATGGATATGTTAGTTGTAGACACATTGTCTAAAGTTAGACACATTGTCAGGGAGAAGTTAGTTTTAGACAGATTGTCTAAAGTAAGACACATTATCAGAGAGAAGTTAATTGTAGACACATTGTCTTAAGTAAGACATATAGTCGAGGAAAAGTTAGTTGTAGACATAATATATTCTTAAGTAAGACACATTGTCAGGGATATGTTAGTTGTAGACGCATTGTCTTAAGTAAGACACATTGTCAGGGAGAAGTTAGTTTTAGACAGATTTTCTAAAGTAAGACACATTGTCAAGGAGAAGTTACTTTTAGACACATTGTCTTAAGTAAGACACATTATCATGGATATGTTAGTTGTAGACACATTGTCTAAAGTTAGACACATTGTCAGGGAGAAGTTAGTTTTATACACCTTGTCTAAAGTAAGGCACATTATCAGGGAGAAGTTATTTGTAGACACATTGTCTTAAGTAAGACACATTATCATGGATATGTTAGTTGTAGACACATTGTCTAAAGTTAGACACATTGTCAGGGAGAAGTTAGTTTTAGACACATTGTCTAAATTAAGACACATTGTCAGGGAGAAGTTAGTTTTAGACACATTGTCTAAGTAAGACACATTGTCAGGGATATGTTAGTTGTAGACGCATTGTCTTAAGTAAGACACATTGTCAGGGAGAAGTTAGTTTTAGACACATTGTCTAAGTAAGACACATTGTCAGGGATATGTTAGTTGTAGAGACATTGTCTGAAGTAAGACACATTGTCAGGGAGAAGTTAATTTTAGACACATTGTCTAAAGTAAGACACATTATCAGGGAGAAGTTAGTTGTAGACACATTGTCTGAAGTAAGACACATTGTCAGGGTTATGTTAGTTGTAGAACAATTGTCTAAAGTAAGACACATTGTCAGGGATATGTTAGTTGTAGAGACATTGTCTGAAGTAAGACACATTGTCAGGGATATGTTAGTTGTAGACGCATTGTCTTAAGTAAGACACATTGTCAGGGAGAAGCTAGTTTTAGACCCATTGTCTAAAGTAAGACACATTGTCAGGGATATGTTAGGTGTAGAACAATTGTCTAAAGTAAGACACACTGTCAGGGAGAAGTTAGTTGTAGACACATTGTCTAAAGTAAGACACATTGTCTGTTAGAATTTATGTGTAGACACATTGTCTAAAGTAAGACACATTATCAGGGAGAAGTTAGTTGTAGACACATTGTCTTAAGTAAGACATATAGTCGAGGAAAAGTTAGTTGTAGACATAATATATTCTTAAGTAAGACACATTGTCAGGGATATGTTAGTTGTATACACATTGTCTGAAGTAAGACACATTGTCAGGGATATGTTAGTTGTATACACATTGTCTGAATTAAGACACATTGTCAGGGAGAAGTTAGTTTTAGACACATTGTCTAAATTAAGACGCATTGTCAGGGAGAAGTTAGTTGTAGACACATTGTCTTAAGTAAGACATATTGTCGAGGAAAAGTTAGTTGTAGACATAATATATTATATATGTATAGCATATCAATTAAACTATTACCGGTGACTTTTGTTCACTTTATTTAACAATTTTTAATACTTAATGCGTTCAGATTAAACCTTACGGCAAATATTGGATTTAATATGTATTTTATTCCGTTAAACGAATAAAGGTTATATACAATTAATAATAGATTATCATAAACATATTTAATGACATCGTAACATCTCTAAATTTATACTTAAGGTTAAATTGTATACGTAAAAGATCCTGCATTTTAAATGTCATCTTTCATACTGGGATGAAAGGATTAAACTAATGGAGCCAAGCACGTTTATTTCTGGTTAAAACCGTACGAGTTGGACTTAATCTTTTAATTGTGTCACGGTATACTTATGATCACATGAATTTCTCTTGGCGCGGTATTACCGGCTTAAACCTTTTCACCTTGCCTTTACTTGTTTGTCAATAGTTCACATTTGTATTTGATGAAAAAGCTGATTAAGATTACGATTTGACTGTAGAAGGTGGGCAATGGTTTTTAACATTGTTGTCGCACTGCGGCAGGTTACTGTGGAGACAGCCCCACCCACAACTCAGGGCGGAATAAAACCGAAGGGTTGGGCTTCCTGCCAATTTTTACCTGTACAACATTTCTATTTCAGTTTTTAAGTCCTGAAATATGTATACAAGTATCAATAAATTAAATTTGAAAATCAAAATAAATTGACCGATCGTATGTACTTTAGCTGGACATGATAAAATGCCACTTGAATGGTCATCGTCTTTGGATAGATAAATACTATTTGATTGTTACACATTGTTCCGTTATTTAATCCCGAAGACGAGGGTACTCATTGACGGTATATGTTCACCACTACCGTCAGAGAGATTTCTACTTATGAGTTATTGGCGGAACTTCTTAGACATATTAGCTGACCATTAGTTGACCATTCCTTTGACAGATTGAAGAAGAATGACCAGTCATATATATCCATAAACTGGTATTGACAAACGTTACCGGAACAAAGACGAGAAGAGGTGCTTATAAATGTGAAACAATTTAATAAATCGTATTATTCGAGACTATTTGAAAGGAGGGGCCACAACTCTTTAAAAGAGTGGGTACATTTGTGATAAAAATTGTAACGACCAAATTTTGTTTTGTTTTGTTTNGTTTTTCTACCCCATTCGCCACTGATAACTAATCCCCCCCCCCCCTACCTGGGGACAGTAAACAGTATCCGTCATAGAGTTTATTACATTGTACCTTTATTTACATGTTGAGTGTGACAACAACCCACGTGGGCAATACACTTGTATAAAAGTATAGAGCTATGTTTACCTGTATGTAAACCCTTTCGGTCAGACTCGGGTGGGGAAGGGTGGGGGTTTTGGGTCTGGCGGGTTCCGGAGTGCGATTACCACGTGATGAAATAGGCTGGTGGTTGATGAGGGGTTTGATGTTCGGTGGTGGTATGGGGGCACAATAAGCTGTAGAAATGTTGTATTTTTTTCCGTACATCAATCCCAACTCCATCCTCCGCCCTCCCCGGTTGTGTGTGACTAACTGACCCCTCTGATCCTTGGTAAAACATGTTTATAGTACTGTATACTTCATTGAGTAACTGATTTTGGATAACCGGTTTGTCGACAGATAAATGAAACAAATATATATGAGCTGTAGTGTTTACAAATTACCATGTGCTCAACCAGAACAAACAGTACAAGGCTGAACATCTGTTAATTTACATCATGCACTTTGAATATAGAAACATGTTCCACTATAGTACATGTTTGTTGGCGTGTTGTTAACTGTGGAAAGATTGTCTAATAGTTTCACGAAGCCTATTTGGTTCGAAAATCTAGCTGTGTGTTCTAAGATATGTCTTATATGACGATAAACACGGCTACGTACATGTATCACCTAAAATTTATTGTCTAATATTTATTTTTAAAAGCAATTCAATCAATGTTGTTGCGTAGCGAAACAGTATCAATAATTCATAACCTTGCATCGGAGTGTCTAGCACATTTTTATGTTGATATTATCCCCTCGAGAGGCTGATCTAGAGTTACAACAACCACACACTTCAACCTGTAAATAATAACCGACCTGGGTCTATATTATGTACATACAGACACGCCAACTATAGGCACTGGGTATCACCGCTGTGCTATTAGTATTTTCAAGAAAAAGAAGCCAATTTAAAAGATATGTTGCGAAAGCGGAAGAAAACGTCCTATTTATAGCCCTAATATGTTTCTCTATTCACATAAAACAAAAGTAAGACGTCACCAATCCTAAAAAAAAAAACTTTGTCAATTAATCTGTCAAATCAAACACTTTCATACCACTTTAGTTCTGCCTTTTAATTAAAATGGCGTTTATTTTAAGCTATCAACATAATCGGACTGCCAGACGAAAACCAAGTTCGGCGGGCTATATATTGGTGACCGAATAATTTGATCGATTTTTTATTTTCGCGTTGATCTTTATTATGCAATTGTGTAATATGTAAATTGAAAGAAAATACAGTTAATCCCAGAAGGTTTCGCTTCCATTGTGTTCCCTTCATTTGGGCAGGACTTACAAAATGATTTTTTTTTTACATTGTTTTAGCTATCTATGCCATAACATAAAGCTGGCTAACGACAATATCTTTGTAGATACTTTCGCAAACATCACTCCCACAAAACTCTATATCCGACATCATGTTGGTCAATGTTGAACACAGAAAACATACATGTCGGATTGGTCGAGTGGTTAACACTCCGGCCTTCCCCGAAGTCGTCGTATGCATGTAATATTCAGAGAAATTGTTTTTTTTATCACCTGCCCATACAATTCCAAGAACCCAGGTGGAGTATAAATGGCCTGGGTGGATGTTGTGGTATCTGTGCTGTAGCATTCAAGTGAGGTGACACTATAACTTATATTGTTGGAAGCACGGTCCCACTTCAAACATAACACAATACCTCTCCAGCACACACGCAGGCATACACACGTAGGGAGGTACTAGCCAGGTGGCATATAACAAGTAGTTAGCGCCTGGTAAGGCAGCTCCTGCAAATTCCTCCAAATTGTATTACTTAATGTATATGCTAATTGTATTGATTGTATAAACTGTATATCTATGTACTGCAAAGCGCTTTAGAGTGGCTTATTTTAGCTAGATAGGGCGCTATATCAAATGTTGTATATTATTATGTCGTCTGCTTAAGACGCCAAAGAATCACATGTCAATAAATCATGATGACATTGTTTTAAGAACTTTCTGAAACGTTCGCTGACAAAGCAAAACAGAACTGCTGTATGAGCTCATTTAAAATTTATTTACGTGAAGACAAATAACAACAAAAACAGACGTCAAATTACTTTCTGTTACGGCAAAGGCATTCATATGGCACGATTTCTACCCCAAAGTAAAATATTTTAAAACGATAATATTTTGGTAAGTATGACATTACGGTTAAAAATTAAATAAGGAGAGATAAGTTGTATGTATAAGTCTTTTCTAAGTAGTTAAACTTCCTGGAGACAAACCAAACTACTGTAGCTCTGCGTATTAAATTTGCTGATTTAATTGCGCACAATTAAATGTGCTGACCTGACTCGGTATAAACAAGTAAATCTTGCTTTTGTGAACACGAGGTAAAAATTCACTCACGATTAACTTTGCAACAAACATAAGTATAAAGTGTTCATTTGACCCAGAATAACATAGGGCGATACCATGGTTTACATGGATGGACATATCAAATTTGCATTGAAATCCTTTTTCCTGGCGTGTGATATTCGCTGTTTTTGATACCAAAATATAATATTTAAAACGTGAACTCGTGACCTCCTGACATTTTTTTTTTCGACATGCGTATAAATAGCACAAACATGTATAAAGTTCATTTATGGAATGGTTTGATATGTGATACATGTATAAACGAATTGGTCCTAACGAATCGCCTGTATTCCGAGGCGAAACAGGACTGGTTTTTGTCAGTTTAACAGAGTTTGTTCGCACTGGCGGTAAACGTAGAACATACAACGGCCATAGTGTATTTACGAGAATATATACAAGATTCTATGTTTACATATATATAATAACGAAGACATTTTTCACTGAGATTCTTATCACATGAACATCAACAAATATGTATGCCCCACCTCCATAAAATAAATATGACAATACCACACTCTCGACCCCCTTCCCTTCTCGCTTCAATATATTTTCATGCCAGACGCATGGCTTTGAGTTTTCTTCATGATGTTTTGTACATGTAGCTGACACAGCAATGCAGTCCCCTTATATTATGCATTCTCTCATATTAAGCTGCTTGTTGAAAACGGCAAATTATCAGTTTATTTAACGTGAATGTTTGACATGAAGTGACCCATATTTTCAGTTTGAAGGTATCAGTTTGGTAGCATTGCTTAAAAATAACAAAAGACTGCCGAAATGTTAACAAAACCGTTTTTCGAACTCAAAAGTGATGAAACTATCGCGAAACTTGAACAATGAAAAACATATTGCCGCTAAAATGTCTACGTGTACAGGGAAAATATGTCCAGAAACCGTTCTCATGCACAAACTCTGATTCTGTGCTCGAGCCCAATTTTTCGTTCTTATTCATTATAATTTGATAAAAATCCATATTTTTCTCAATGTACTGGAAGAATTTTAGAGAGACTAAAAACCGAATACCGTTTCAATATTTACACTTAACCTTTTGGCCGTGTCACAAGATTGAAGCGAGTTGTAAGAATGTTTTTTTGGTTTGAGCACAGAATTCATGCTTGAGCATGAATACGGGCCCAGGTATCTCAAAAATGGATGCGTCCTCTGTATCCAAAAATTCCCAACTATACTGCTATCTTCCCCGATTCTTTCCATATTGTACTTAATCTCATGCTTATTTTCATTAACCTTAAATCTGTTAAATGCTAATGAATTGTACCTTTAAATAAATACACTGTCGCTGTATTTATACTGTATAGAATGACATCTTTACACAGAGTTATTCTCGCGATACTCTAGTCAGTGTGTACACACAATCAAAGTACAAACGTGAGAATCGTTGTTGTCAGTGCGATACAGCAAGTATAAATAAACAGCGACTGTTTAATATTGTAAAGCATTTAAACATAAGTCACACTGACTAAAATAACAGCCCCTCTCCTTAAAATAAATTTAACTCATTAACACATGATTATTACATATAGACTTTTGCCACCACAGCAAACCTTCCCACCATCTACTAAGTAGTTGGCCCAGCCCATTAAACCCCAACCGTCCCCTAACCCCCCACAATGTAACCCCCACCATATACACGATAACATGTCACACCCTAGGGAGTCTCTCTAACATGAATTACAAGTATAAAGCTGTCTTTGTACACACATCCAAAAGTTCATGGTTCGAATCTTTACTCCTTCTCCATCATATATTTTACAAATTCTGTAAAAAAAAAAAAAAAAAAAAATGATAGTGAGCGGAATTAACGTTAGTATAAGTGACCAATCTAATATTCTAAATTTTAATTACGGTATAACAACAAATTACAACGTCTAATATTGTAGGTAAAATGTCTAACATTCCAAATAAAAGTCTGAAACTTTAAACAAAATGTCTAATATTCCTAAAGAAAGTCTAATACGCCAGCTAAAAAACATAACATTTCAATTATAAACTTAAACATTCTAAGTTTAAGGTTTAACATTCAGATTAAAAAGTCATACATTCCAATTGAAAACTATCATATTTCAAAAAAGGTCCTCTGGCATCCTTATGGAATATCTAACTTTCCAATTTTTATAAAATTCCATTCCAAGCAAAAAGTCTAGTATTTCGAAAAAGATGTATGTTCCAAGTGAAAAGTTGTATCTTTGGTATGAAATGAGCAAAACTACGACTGCAAGTTAGCATGTCAGCAGATGTAGCTTAGCTTATGTTAAGGACACATGCTACTGTATAAAATTCATCTCTCACAGAGAGGTTTTTGATTGAACTCTCTGCAAACAGGTTCAACGATTTATGTTGTTATACTGTTAATGATGTCATATTGGAAAGGTACACGACATTTCATTATGTCATTAGATTTCAATAATTAAAAGGGAAATAACTTTTGCACAGATCCTAGAACACTATGTGAGGTAACATGTATTTTCAGTAGCTTTTTTAGTTTATAATATGATAACTTAATCAAGAAACATGTACCTTGTTTTGAAAATCCATGCAAAAATATGAATATTTTACAATGTTTGAGACACATACTTATTTAGAAGTGTTGCAATTGTTGGCCAGTGCATTTCTATTTGAAAATAATTTTGATTTTTTTTTTTACTCCCAAACATGGAAGCCATGACTTAAAAGTACAAGGAATGTAAGGCAATGTGTTCCGCGATATCCATATATCTAGGTGTAAATAAAACATGGATAACATGAAATGCCAATATGCTTACCATCAAAATCTATCTTTCCATTTCCATCGAGGTCTGCATCTTTGATCATTGCCTCCACTTCTTTGGTACTTAGGTCATTTCCAAGTTTGAGCATCACACTTTTGAGTTCATCTGCCTCTATGAAGCCATTGCTATCGCAATCAAACATACGAAATGCGTCCCTCATCTCTTTCAGTGTACCTTCATGATGGGCCATTCTGGCCTCCATAAATACAAGAAATTCATCGAAGTCGATCGTTCCATTTTCTATGAAAGAGAGAAAGTTAAACGTTATGAATGTAATCAGAACAACACCTATTTCCTGTGTAAAAAAAAGAAAACCTCTCGAAGATCACTCCCACACACGTAAGTTAGGTTTAGTTTTGTTTCACGTCCTATTAACAGCTAATGTCATTTAAGAACGTGCCTTTAATATGTGTATTGTATGCGTGGACAGAGTATGTGATGTTCTTGCCTCCTTGTGATAGCGTGGATCTGATGCCGACTTTATAGTGCTATCTCACTTAAACACCATGCCGAAGCCACCCAGCACAGCATTCCGCCCGGTCACATTATACTGACAACGGGTGAACCAGTTGTTGCCATTCCCCTTAATGCTGAACGTTAAGCAGGAATAACAACTATCATTTTTAAGGACTTTGGTATGTCCCGGCCTTGGAAAAGAACCCATTGCCTTTCTCACCTGGGCGAACGCTCAATATTAAGGCCAAAAGTGAGGTGTTATCAAGCAAGGCGCTAGAAAATAAAAGGAAGTTAGAAGTGAAAAGAAAGATAAAGATCCCAAAAATTGCAATGGGTGCATTACATTTATTTTGGTCGCTTTTGTGTCCCCAAATAGAGGACACCAAAGCAAATCCCCAATTCTTTACCTGATCCCCCAACTGCAGGGGTGACACACGTAAGTAACACGTACTTTTTCCACAAACTGTAAAAATGGAAATGTCAACACCGTCATCAGTTCATAATTAAAGGATCATAACACGAGCATTTCCACACGCGAACAATTCCAGTTTTACTTTATTTATATTGCTTACTATCTTTGTCGCCGTCAGCCATGACTTTATCCACTTGCTCTTTCAGTTCCTTCTTATTGAGGTGCATTTTAAGAGACTCCAGCACTGTTGTCAGTTCCTCCGCCGTGATCCTCCCGTCGTTGTCTTTATCAAACAGGTGGAATATCGTCTCCAAATATTCCTCTTTAATAGAAAATTGAAGATGACACAGTTACGTGCATGTTTTAAATGTGAAATAATCCAAAGTGACAATACACAGGGACAAAATAGGAGCTAAAAATCTACCAGAATGACAATCGATGAAACCAAAGGGACTTTAAAATTAATAGACAGGTATTGATAGCCGATACAGAATTTGATGTGAAGCAAAGTGCTTCGGGACCAAAATCTAGGTACAAGGATATGTATGGTAAACATTAAAATCAAGTTATGATGACGACCGCGAAATGTCGTCAGTGTAGATTGATGTCTTTCTGGTATGAAACCTCGGCTAAGTATTTCTAACACGTCGTACCTCCGACGTAATTCGATAACTGATTATGGACTGTAACATGTATATGATGTTATAAAGACGATACTCAAGGGACGGTGTTGTAATCGTATACATATACAGCGTGAAAACAAAACAATTAACATTATTCAAATTTTGACAGGCAACAAGACAACAAAGAGTCTTCGTATTTTAAACACCGTTGTTCTATGAAAAATAAAATGCTCTGCTCGCTTGTACCAATTGCTTTTGGATAGAAATCTTATGTATCAGAATTTACATTATCCCGTAAGGGAATTAATCCGACTATCTACTATATTATAGTATATAATTACGGTCTTTCTTCTGTCCATGTGCATGGTCCTCCTACAAATAAATATAAAATGATAATAGACTTAATTCTATTTCATCACAGTTCGACTCTTATAAAGGTGATACGTGTTGTATGTTGCATGTGTTAGAAGGGATGTGATACATATGGGGTAACGTTGCTTGATATTCATAGACAATTTGCACATCACAACAAAACATGATGATTCATGTACATTTACTAGAATATCATATCTAATACATGTACAATTTAAAAACGGCATCTACGGCAGAATGTTTGTGAGTGTTAAAAGAGCATTTCTTATTTCTTTCGAAGATAATGATGCACCGTAAGAAGAGTCATAAAGATATATCTGGGTAATTTGTATTTCCCTATACATGTCGAGCACGCAGAAAACCAATCTCCTTTCTGTTTATATATATATATATATATGGGTCAAAGAAGTAATATAGACGGTAAAATCCCATAGACAATAATATTTTAATCAAATATTCAACCGACGATATGTATTTGTCTCCGACAAGAAAAATAATCCATTTCCAAAGATCACCCCAGAGAATTCATTTCAAAAACTGGGAAATTACATCCACGGCATGATTAAAACTGTCTAATGATCTGATACTACACATACATAAACCTGTTTTAAGTCATGCAAATTGAATAATAGTGGCAACAATTCTTACAAAAGATATATATGAAAGGTAAGCACGAGAATACCATATCATCAACAAAGCCGTAACTTGAACTCAAAATTGATGAAACTAGAGAAAAATATGAACTAAGATATTACATGTAAATGCTTACGAAAATACCAAAAGAATAGAAACAACTGTCACAGAAACACAAGAGTCTTTTTTATCATCGAGAAGACATGCCATGCAAATCCAAGCCAAATGGAAATGATGTAATGTTCTAAAAGAGTGGACCGCAATAGTGACAACGACACAAAAGGGCAATGTGATTTAGCGCAAAGTCGCGGAGGAAAGCAATTGTGAATTTAAACATCTCGCCGATAGTAGTTGAAAGACATTTAAACAAGGTTATAACACAAGCTGTTAACAGTTCTTTCTCGAACTATCACTATCGAAAACGTGATATGAAAAGCAACTTCGGAAATAAGTATAAGCGAAAATTATATGATTGGCTGTTATTTGATACACTAAGGAAACATACATGAAGGGTTAGATTGATAATCTTTTTGTATTAGAAGAAAATATGTGCATTAATATATTACAAACCTTCACACTATTGTATACGCTAGAAAGTAGAATAAATACCGGCCTCCATGGTATAATTCCATGTCCTTCAATATCAACATTGGTGTCAACGAGTTAACAGGTAATATTTTATGTTTTATATCATATAATATATTATAATACAATGCGAACGACACATAAAGATACATGTGTGTTAAGATATAATGTATTTGATAGTTGTAATGTAACACAAAAATGATACCTCGGTTTGGTTTTAATACGCAAGAAAACATATTATTATCTCTAAAAAGATAGTTTATGATTACCGAGTGTAAGTGATAGCATAACAATGTACAAGGTTTAATAAAGCCTTGATTAATTGTAATACGTATTCCATAAGGTAGATATTAACTTATAATTTGTACATGAAAGCTAACAAATCGCAAAACTGCTGGAACGTGGCCTCCTATTGATCGCTCACAGATTAAACACTCTGATAAAAATCGAAGCTTTTAAAAGACGGTTTAATGAAGGAGCTTCCACAACGGGTTGGCCATGCCATTACCTGTCTTCATAGTCGGACGAAAAAACAACGTCTTTACAAATGTATAAACTAGATGTTTGATACTATTTAATGCACTCGTATTTTACTCAGGCTGGCGAGCAATCTATGTATCGTATTTTTTATATGTACTTATTTGAAATGCGGCCCTTGGTATTTAATGTCAAGTCATTGTTTGATGGGTTGTAAACCAACAGGATCTGTCAAACCTTCATATTGCCTGATATACTAGCGATACGAAATCCTGAACCGACTAACGTTTCTTTACGTTAAATTTAATGTACTTAAAGTTCTAGCATAAGCGTATCAATAAAATTAATATCGATGTGAAGCAATCGGCAATTAAAAAGAATGCTAAGGTTGACGATAAATTGCTTAAATTGTCGGTAAATTTTTAATATCTTGGATACAGCTAACGTTGGTTGATGTTCGGTTGTATCAAATAACTTTTTGTTCAGGAATAATGTATAACCAGTTATATTGATTTCAAAGCAAAAAGGCTTGTCAGAATATTAACATGCAATTTTACTCTTAGTTTAGTCAGCAGTAGGTCTCTCGTTTGAGTGGGACAACTTTCAAATGTCACTGTTATTCACATTGTCTATTCTATAAAAAAATAAAAGGTGTAGGTACATAAAGATAATTATGTACATGTGCATGTTCCTGTGCCTGTTATGACTCGGGGACATGCCACGTTAATTACTCATGAGTACAATTGTATTGTCAAGGCACAAGATTATATACTATTCCTACAACAGACAATGATACCAGTTGATACAGATTATGAACAAGCTTTGAAGTCGCTATCATGGTCCTTTTTTCAAATAAGCTATTTCGTTGAGCATGATGAACGGTGTGTTTGTGATCATGTTTGTTTTCCCTATCCTAGTTTTCATTAAAGATGATGTGACATTAATTTGATTTGACCAAGACTTACAAATGTACATGGCGGATATTGCAGATGAAGCAGAAGTTTGAATACGAGATGTCATTCCCCTTATACTATTTCAGGAGTATTGATTATTTTGTGATACCCGGTGTAGCGTACAACTCATTAAAATCAAATTTTATGAATATAGCTCGTACACATTGAGATCAATTTTATCCCGTACAACTGTTATACTCATACCTGTTTATACTTTTCTTACCATACTTTATTAAACTATTCTAAATTTAGTTATGAAAAAGTGATAGCAATGTTTAGCTTGATAGATAGAATAATAAGTGGAAATCTATTTTAAGCACATCCACCTGTCAGACTATATGTGGTATAAACAGCGTGAAAGCCAAGGACAAAGACTGCAACCAATTAGTTGAGGACATCCAAATGATTATTCATTAATAACAACAGGAACAATAACGAAACAGGTTCCAATTATATGTCTCGGTAATCCTATTCCGTTTTAGAGCCCCTGGACGGTTTGTTTATCTATACACATGTCTACAAGGACACACAATTGAATACGTCATTATAGGTAATATAATTACTATGTCAATAATTTAACGATCCCCGGCGCAGCGAGAATTGTTGTTTATAAACACGTTCGTACTATATACTACCTAAAGACAAACGTCATCTTTTGTATTTAGACAGTACATTCGATACCTAGAACGTTATATTATAAATAGGTAATACGTAACAGCATTTGCGTCACATTGTTTTAAAATAGAAATAATTGTTGTAAATAACCATTCATTATGTCATCTGATGATCCAAATACGTCACACAGGTAAAGACAGGTACATACCAAACATTTCTATACTAGTTATAGCCAGAAATAGCTCTTATGTATTTAAAAACAAATTAATTTAAAATTCTAAAGTGACATTTTCTTTAAAACTACAGCTTAAAAGAGTAAAAAAAAAATCAGAACTTGTAGACAATAACCTACTTGTCTTATGAATTTATAACAAAATACTTCTGATGGAATTTTCTTTCCAAAATGACTGTTTTTCTTATTTATTTTTTATTTCATCTGCCAGAAAGCTAACAATGCTTGCTATATTTGGTTAGTCCAGGACAATTAACTTCTATTAATTTGGTAATGTGTAATGACAGTTCAAAGATTTGTCAATTTGACAAATAGTTTAAAAATAAGAAATATTCGTTTTCTAAAAGTTTTGTGTCGAAAAAAAGTTTTATGTATGCTTACTGTAGACGAACAACATAATTTCCTGAATATACCGGTTTTTCAACGTTGTTTTGAATCATAAAAAATGACATCTATTTGTTGCAAAGTTAATCATACTTTCAATACATTTTGTAGGGATTTATTTTGATGACGTCAAGTCGTACTAGCGGTGTTACAATAACATACGTTATATCTAAAAGGGCCAAACGCGGTTCGTAAAATGTTATTGTTGGTTATTTTCCTAATAGATTATACTAGCTATAGTGTCTTTGTTATTGACCTTTTGACTCTTTGGTCTTTCAATTTCTATCTATGGTATCTTTGTATTGACTATTTTAGTAAAATAGTACATTGTAAACTAGTTTAGCTCTAAGTTTTATCTAAAGAAAAAGGAGAATATGTATGCAACAGTTATGCTAATAAAACAAAAAGCAAATATCAATATTATATACACCAAAACCTGCTCCGCAGCCAACCTGTTTTTTTTTTTTTAAATCCACCTGTATAAAGAGACCACCTTTGTATTAACCTTATCCAGCTTGTTTATGTCAACTGAACCTGTATTGAGTGACCAACTGTAGTAAGAGACCACTTTATAGAATAGACTTCCCAAAGTTGGTATCTGAGTACAGGTTTGACTGTACCTAAATTTGGAATGACTTGATTCATTAACTAATTTAATAACCCTTATAGTATCCCTATATCTGTATGTATTTAACATGTCCTTATAGTATCCTATTCGTTCGTTTATCATTCACAACTAATTTAGCAATGAAAAGCAGCCTTGCAATTACTTGATATAATTACTTCCGTAAATAAATATAATCAGGAATTTTGAAAAGATCACGCTTCATTTAACAAAGAATGCTATTAATTAGCTTCCCCTGGCCTTTATCGACTATTTTCCTACAACCGCAGTATGTGCGTGCGTGTGTGTGTGTTTGGGTGTGTGTGCACGTGTGAAAGATAATGAAATACCAATGACTGCGACAAAATATAATATCTTGGATAATGTATGGTATCAATGTAATCCCCACTCACACACCTATACCGTTATTTCAAACATCGCCAGACATAAACAGACGAGTTCGATACCGCCTCGATATAACGTGGGTAAGTAATACGTAGTGCTAACGCGACACTCGATAAGCGTCCCTAGCGACCGTTAACCTTTGTGTGGTATTTGGTATCCACGTCTCCACTAATACCAGATAAACGCTTTACTGTACGTACCTTTAATAGGTTTCATTGATATCGCATAATTTCTCTTTCACTAACGCGCTTGGAAGGTATAAAACCTATATTCATATCTGTTTCAACAACAGGTAGACCTATTATATACTATTCTGATATAACGAGTAACCTAATCTTACGACAGCAAATTCTCTACATGGGGCGACTGAAGGAATTACGTTACTGTTGGAATATGAATTTAAATTTGACAACAATAGAAGGCTACTAAGGGAGCATGTTAATGAAGTGCTAAATAGTATCGTATAAAGAAATAATTTAACATACTTACCATGACTCAAGACAGGTGTGCAGCTGATCGCGGTGGTAGTATATAATATATATAAACACGTATCCTGCCTGTGATTCGAGTCAACAGCGTTTAACTATTAATAGTTTAAAAACCACCTTATAAACAGTGGCACAGAACCATGAAGTGTCGCGAAAAGACAGCACTGTTAATTAGAATCGTGTATTGATAAACATCCCTGGCATTTGTTATTAAGGCCTCGTCACGTGCCGATTATTTACACCTGGCCCCTAGGGATCAATGGCTGTGGCTCTGCGGCGAAAGAAGAAAGTAAATGCGACAATTGCACACGAATGTAAAATATATTCATAAAAGCAACACACAGCGGCTCTGACATTTATTCTGCACCGTTTTATATCTTTCCAAGCGACCTTTCCTTTCTGCTAACTCATTTCATAACAATGCAGATATACCGTGCCATGTTGAATGGGACACCGGTATAACATTGGCAAAGGTGTCAATACGTATTCTGAATAGACCATATCCTTGAAAATGTCAACAAATAGGACAATGTGTTTTCCATAAGAATTGATGCGGACTTTATACTTTCTATGCATTAAAGGGGCAAAGATTATAAATATTTTAAAAGGAAAATCACCTTTATCTGTAATAATAGATCAAACGTTTGATAAAAATTCCGATGATATTATGATTTGCGTCAATGCAAATTGAGATATCTCTTTTCAAGTATCACTATTGAACATGAGTTGTTAGAAAAAAAGTTTTAGCTCCTATTACATGCTAATGACTATTATTCTGAAGTACTGAAGATGTATATTCATGCTTGGAATCATCAGCTACTTTGTACTTTACAAAATGAAGCATTTTTGGGGCTTCAGCCCCCCCCCCCCTCCCCACCCTCAGAATTTTCTTTAAATATCATGTATTTTCACCATTTTCCTCAATC